TGCATCTTGCAGGCCTGCAGGAGGTTGTGGCGGTCACTGCGCTTCTGCTCCAGCTTGGTCTCGATGGCCGTCACCTCCTTCTGCAGGTGTGTCATCTCCCTGGGGACAGCGACAGGGACATGGGGACACCGTAGGGACAGCGACATGCATGTGGGGACAGGGACAGCGACAGGGACGTGGGGACACCACCATGGTGACAGGGACGTGGGGACAGGGACGTGGGGACACCACAGGGACACCATGGGGACAGGGGAATGGGGACAGGGACATGGGGACACCGCCATGGGGGCAGAGACATGGGGACACTGCCACAGGGATACATCATGGGGACACCATGGGGACGGGGACATGGGGACAGGGACATGAGGACAGAGGGATGAGGACAGGGATATGGGGACAGACATGGACATGGGAACAGGGACATGGGGACACCACAGGGACACCGCCATGGGGACAGGGACATGGGGACACGGCCACAGGGACACCATGGGGACAGGGACATAGGGATGAGGACAGGGACATGGGGACATCACAGGGACACTGCCATGGGGACAGGGACATGGACATGGGGACAGGGACATGGGGACACGGCCACAGGGACACCGTGGAGACAGGGGGATGGGGACATGGGGACACCACGGGGACACCGCCATGGGGACAGGGACATGGACATAGGGACAGGGACATGGGGACAGAGGGATGGGGACACCGTGGGGACACCATGGGGACAGGTACATGAGGACAGAGACAGGGACATGGGGACAGGGACATGGGGACACCATGGGCACACCATGGGGACAGGGGGATGGGGACAGGGTCACAGGAAAGGGGACTTGTTGGCCCCACCCCCTTTAGCCCCACCTTCCCTCATTAGCCCCACCCCCTTTGACCCCACCCATTTGGCCCCGCCCCTTTGGCCCCGCCCTCACTTGTTGGCCCCGCCCAGTTTCTTGCGGATCTCGTCCATCTCGTGGTTTTTGTCGTTCACCTCCGATTTCTTGGCCAGGTGTTGGTTCTTGAGGTCCTGCAGCTGTGCCATCGTCTCGTCGATGATCTTCATGTGCCGCTGCTCCTCCTGGGGGGAAAGAGCACAAAATCACCCCAAAATATACCAAAAATATCCCAAAATCTATCAAAATCACCCCAAAATAGCCCAAAATATACCAAAATATCCCAAAACCCACACCGAAACAGAGCAAATACACCCAGTGCCGCTGCTCCTCCTGGGGGAGAGAGAGAGCACAAAATCACCCCAAAATATACCAAAAATATCCCAAAATAGCCCAAAATCACCCCAAAATAGCCCAAAATCACCCCAAAATAGCCCAAAATCATCCCAAAATAGCCCCAAATTACACCCAGTGCCACTGCTCCTCTTGCCCGGGGGGGAAACAGGGCAAAATATCCCTAGATACACCAAAATAACCCCAAAATAACACAAAAATATCCTAAAATCACCCCAAAATATCCCCAAATCACCCCAAAATATCCCAAAGTACCCCAAAATACACCAAAATCATGCCAAAATATCCCAAAATACACCAAATACACCCAGTATTGCTGCTTCTCCTGGAGTGAGAAAATACCCCAAAATAACCCAAAAATACCTGAAAAGCCTGGAAAATCTTAAAAAAAACCACTAAAAAAACCCCCAAAACCCCAAACCTTTTTGAGTTTCTCGATCTCGGCCTCGTCCTTGCGCACGCCCTGCTCCCAGCCCAGCACCTTCTCCTGCTCCTCCCT